TTTGAGATTTTTAAATAAATATCCCAAAGTGAATTTAACTTCATGTAATATATCTAGCATCTTTGTTTCTTTTCTTTTCTTTTTTTTTTTTTTTTTTTTTGAGATGGAGTCTCGTTCTGTGGCCCAGGCTGGAATGCAGTGGCGCAATCTCAGCTCACTGCAAGCTCCGCCTCCCGGGTTCACGCCATTCTCCTGCCTCAGCCTCCCTAGGAGCTGGGACTACAGGCACCCGCCACCACGCCTGGCTAATTTTTGTATTTCTAGTAGAGACGGGGTTTCACCATGTTAGCCAGGATGGTCTTGATCTCCTGACCTTGTGATCTGCCCGCCTCGGCCTCTCAAAGTGCTGGGATTACAGGCGTGAGCCACCGCGCCCGGCCTGTTTCTTCTTTTTTTTAAGAGTTGAAGTCTTGTTCTGTTGCCCAGTCTGGAGTGCAGGGGCACAGTCATGGCTCACTACAGCCTCGAACTCCTGGGCTCAAGCAGTCCTCCTGCCACAGCCTCCTGAGTAGCTGGAACTATAGGTGTGCACCATCATGCCTTGCTAATTGTTGGGTTTTTGTTGTTGTTATTTAATTTTTGTTTGTTTTTTGCAGAGATGAGGTCTCTGTGTGTTGCTCAGGCTGGTTTCAAACATCTGACCTCGAGAGATCCTCTCTCCTTAGCTTCCCAAATTGCTGGAATTATAGGCATGAGCCACCACACCTGGAGATTGTCTTTGTTTCATATAGATTGTACTTGCAAGTAAGTTGAACCAAACCACAATTTAAAGAATGCTGTCCCAACAATACCAGAGAGAATTTTATACTTAGTAAATTCTGCTGCATGCCACTCTACTGGCTGAAATAGTTTGCAAAGTGTTTTTACTCTTACTGCACTCATCTGATCCTTATAATAGCCTGTGATGATAGGTATTCTGATTTTACAGAAGAGGAAGTTGAGACTGACTTATCCAAGGCTCTGAACCTTCTAAGTTGGAGATCAGGCTTACTGTGTAAAAAATGAAGATGTTAAGCTCCTGAGACATTTTGTGCTAAATATCAGTGAAGTATTTTAGAGAGAGCAAATTCTCCAACAGTAAGTGAAAATTACCATTTCTAACAGACTATTGCTAAAATATTTTTGGTTTCTTGTGTTGGATAGTATGCTTATTTATAAGCCTGAATAAGATTATGTTCCTTATGTTGCTTCTCAAATAAAAATAAAGATTTATAATTTTTAAAAAGTAGATCTGAGAAGAATCTTATGCATTCTACCAGAAGAAAATGTGATGGAATTTGTTTTTGTATCTTGGCCTAAAGGAAAGTCTGTCCAAATATAATGAAAAATGCAAAAGCCATAAAAGAAAAGTTTGATTAATATAACTACATAAAAATAACCACTATAAACAAAGTCAACACAAGAGATAAACCGGGAAAAGTATTGCTAGTCATGTAATATAAAGCTAATTTTTCTTAACAAATCAAGAAGAAAATGTTAGTATAAGTAGGAGTAAGGAAATGCATATGCATTTCATATCAAAAGAAATGCAGATTACTCTTAACCATATAGAAATACTCAATTTCACTCATAAAATATAAGCATATAAAATGCAAAATTTCATCTGTTAGATTAGCAAAGCTAAAAGGTTTCAGCACTCATGGTGTTGGAAAAGATGTGAGTAGATGGGCTTCTTGGAAGGCTTAAGGCAGGAGGATCTCTTGAAGCTGGGAGTTTGAGGCCATAGGTCACTATGATTGTACCTGTGAATAGCCACTGCACTCCCTCCTGGGCAACACTGCGAGGCCTCGTCTCTAAAAAAAGTGAAAAGGAGGTGTGAGGAAATGGCACTCCCATGCATTGCTGGTAGGACTGTAAATTGATATAGGCTTCATGACAGAGGGGCAATTTGGTGTTACTTCTCAAAAAGCACATATCCTTTGACCCAGGGATTCTGAGTCTAGCAGTTTATCCTATGGATACACCTGCACTCATGTAAAATGATATACATGCAAGATATTCATTACAGCATTCTTTTAATAGTCTCTGGAGATTTAAACTCACCTTGTTGTCTGTATTTAGAACTTTTTATTCTTAATATAATTTTATCTTCTCTCTTTTTTTCTTAATCAGTTTTACTAGAGACTGGTTTGTTGGTTATTTCAAGATACCATGTAAAAAACTGAATCAGCTAGGGTTGTTGCAATCGACAGAAATCTACTCTGGCAAATTGAATCAGAAAAGGAACTTATTGAAAAAGAATATTAGGTAGCCCAGAATTACCACCTTGGTAGCTAGAAAACTAGGCTGGGAAAATGGCATCCAGGATCAAAGAGTAATACAAATTCTTTGAAATTTTTTGAAGCATCTTTATGACCTAATGTATCATCAGTATTTTAAATTGTTTGCCTTAAGAGGTATATATTCTATTCATTGGGGGTTTAATATATACATAAACATACACACACACGCACACACATATATATACACACACACACACAACCACATTAATTTTATTGTTCAATTTTTCTATATAAACCTTTTGGTCTGCCTGATCCATTTCGTTTTGTTTTGTTGTTTTTTTTTCCTGAAATGGAGTCTCACTGTGTCACCCAGGCTGGAGTACAGTGGCATGATCTCGACTCACTGCAACTTCCGCCTCCTGGGTTCAAGTGATTGTCCTGCCTCAAGCCTCCTGAGTTGCTGGGATTACAGGTGCCCACCACCACGCCCAGCTAATTTTTTTTGTATTTTTAGTAGAGATAGGGTTTCACCATGTTGACCAGGCTGGTTTTGAACTCCTGGCCTCAAGTGATCTGCCTGCCTCGGCCTCCCAAAGTGCTTGGATTACAGGTATGTGCTTGGCCTGATCTATCTGTTTTTAATTGCAGTGTGTTAAAAAATTTCTTACATTAATTTTTGATTAATTTCTCTATATAGTCATTAATTTTTACTGTGTTGTAGGTTCATACAGGTTTTATCATTGTTACATCTTCTTGATGGGTTGCTCTTGTTTTAAAAGAGATAGTAAGGAAGATTTTATTCAAGGAGGGCCACTACAATGGGGTTTGTAAAAGGGGAGAGAGTCAGCTCAGCTCTAGATGGGTTACCTTTTGAATCATTTTGTATTTCCTTCTTGATTCCTGTTAAAGCTTTTCTCCCTGCTTCGCCATGCATTAGCTCTGTAACCTTGGGCTAAGTCATTTAATCCCTCAGTTTTCTTACTGTAAAATGGGCATAATACCTACCTTATCAAGTTTCTGTGAAAATTCACTGAGAAAAAAATGTGTATTTACATTAATATACATGTAGTAGGTTTTCAGTAAATGGATGTAAACTACTCACTTGCCTTAAGGCTTTCCATCCCTTTATTTTTATTTTTTTAAGCATCTAATTTTAACACTATTTGCCTATAATTCTGAATGTGCTTAAGGGACTAAAATAATCATCAGGACTTTTTTATTTTTGAGACAGGGTCTTGTTCTGTTGCCCAGGCTGGAGTGCGGTGGCATGATCTCAGCTCACTGCAGCCTCAACCTCCTGGCCTCAAGTGATCCTCCCACCTCGGCTTCCCAAGTAGCTGGGACTACAGGCACATGCTACCACACCTGGCTCATTTTTTATTTTTTGTAGAGATAGGGTCTTACTATGTTGCCCAGGACTTCTTTTTCAAGTGGGTGAAGGTGATGGAATGTTTGCCTCCCGAACCTAGGGTCTAATAATTCTGTAGTGGTTGGAAAAGGTTTATGTTACTGTTTTCTGTATTTGCTTTAGGTCCAATGTTTCTATCTAAATATCTTCTGCATTACTCAGTATACTAATTAAGAGTCTTTCTAAAATAGTTGATTCTTGTGTGAGGGAAATGCAGGGAAAAAAATAAGATAGTTGAGACAACTGAAAAAGGACAAAAGGCAACTTTCTGGGGAGACTACTTTTCTATAATGAATATTTATCAACCTCAGTGGGATGCAGAGTTATTAAGTCTTTAAAATTAATATATATTTAGACTACCAAATATACATTGAGGGTATAAAGAAGTGTTATGTACATTTAAGGAGACAGAAGTGTATACTCTCCTCCACCTTTTTGATAGTATTTAAGACTTACCATTCTGTTCTTAGCTTTGATTTTTATCATTTATTTATATAACCCACATGTATTGTGCCTCTTACGGGTCCAACATCTTGGATTTAAAAATACATAGAAAGAAGGGGAAAAGACAGAATTTCAGTTGAGAGAACAGCATAAACGGTTTTAAAATACCGTATGGCATGTATATGTTGTGACAAGACAGTCAAGTGTTGAGCTGCACAGTGCTTTAGAAAGATAAAGTTGTGGTCAGTCTCTGAAGAATCTTGAATGATGTTGAAAAGTTTTGACTTTATTCTATAGGCCAGTCAAAATCACTGAAGGCTTTGAGGATAAAAACAAATCAAGTTATATACTGAAAATATACACAAGATTAGATGCAAGTTTTTACAGGAAAATTCTTTGGCAGTGTTGAGAAAGAAATAGAAAAATACAGTATTATGAATAAAACTCCAGCTTATTTTAAATGCCACTCAGTAACATTGAACTCAAGAGCTTTAAATGTTGTTTTTCCTTGAGGTCTTTTAACATGTCACTTTATTAGTTAGACCCTTCTAGACAACCATATATATCCTATACTTCTTTTCCCCCATAGCACTTAGTACAGCAGCCGTTGCTCCCGTGCGCGCACACACACACACACACACACACACACACACACACTCTTGTTTGTTTGCTGTCTGTTTCCTTCCACAAGATTATGAGCTACATGAGAACAAGGACTTTATTGTGCAGTGCTGCTCCTCAGTGCTTAGAACGGTGCCTGATTTGTCACCTTTGATAAATATTTGTTAAGTGAAAGAATGCATATTCAAATTGAGATGACCACAGTTTCTAATGTGATTTATAGTATAGGGGCAGCAGTAGGACAAGATACTAGTTCCTTCCTAGAAAGTCCTGTTAAAAAGTATTTTCTTTTCCCTTTCTTTCAGACTTTATATTCAGAGCACCAATCAAATTAAGCAAGCCTGGGGAACTTCGTGAGGAATATGAAAGCTTGAGAAAGGTATAGTATTATCATGTCATTAATTTTCTTAAAGTAGATTAAAATAATGACATTGAAGAATGCTTAGTGGGAGTCTGGATTTATCAGGTTTTAAAAAATTTATAATGCAGAGCCTTTCTGCACACTACCTTGTACCAGCCTAGTTAGATTTGGAGCTATAATGGAAGTAGAGTAAACCTTAACCCAAGATTGCCTTTTTATTTGTCTTTTCAAAGATGAAGATATAGTTCACAGAGTCTGTCACATGCCAACTGCAGTAACTGGCCACCAGAGAGAGGTATTCTTGGTACTTTTAATAGGTGCCCTTGCTAATAATTGCTTGTATTATTTTTCTTTATCTCGCAAGGTTCTTCTAATTACGTGTAGCTGGTGTTATCCATTATTGCTCACTCTATTAAATACTCCAAAAGAACTGTCATGTAGGTCAGTAAGGGGATAGTGAAATAATTTCCTAGTTAGAAAACATTTGCCATTAGGAAAGCTTTTTATCTGTGTCCATATCATCTTATTTATGATGTTTTCAAACTAATTGGGAATCACCTAGAGAATTAAGAAGTGAAAAAGGTTGGCAATAAGAAGTATGTTGCTAGATGTGTGTCATTCTTTCCCAGCCCTCTCCCTGCACCATCATTCCTCACTCAGCTTTATAATTGATTAATCATTCTACATGTGAGCATCTAATATTTTGTAAATGTAAGTGATCCACTTAATCTGGATCAAGCATCATCATAAGATAGAGGTGAGACAATAATGCTATTGTCACAGGATCCTTGGGGTGTTGCTTTGCCAGCTGGAAACCTCTGTGGCTGGTGGTGCCTTTGCCCAAGTTTTACTTGGGCCTACTGGGCTCGTTCTGCCCGCTCGTTCTGCCAGGCTGTGCTCAGCTCGCACTACCAGCCTGGATCCCATGCCTGCCAAAGGCGAGCCAGGTGCAGAGGGGAGGGGTGCGTGAGCAAGCGAGCATGGGGTCCAGCTGCTGTGCACAGCCAGGCATACTGGCTGCTACTGGGTAGGGAGCTCCAGGCGCTGGTGTGGGCACTGGCTCCTGTGAGGCTGTGGCTGGACCAGGCCTACTGCAAGCAGCTTCCACTGCTGGCACTGAGGAACGTGGTGGTGCCCGGAAGCTTGGAGATGCCAGGAACCACAGAGCCCCAAAGAGGGTGTCATAGCCCTGGCTCGGGAGCACCTCGGTCTGGGCTCCCTGAAGGGCTGCAGCTCTTCTCTCTTTTCTCGTTGCCCGCAACATGGTGAGTGAGGGACGTGTTTCAGCCATTTGTGTTACAGCTCTTTCTGTCCCGGTCCCAAGTTCTTGTCCCGCATCCAGAAAGAATGAGGTACGTGGACAACTGGAGGGTGAGTACGGTGAAGAGAAGCTTTATATTGAGTGACAGTACAGCTCTCAAGAGACTGAGGTGGGTAGCTCCTTTCCACAGGCAGGTCATCCGGACATCTACTCAGCACTCAGCTGAGAGGAGATCCACAGTGGGTAGCTCCCCTACACAGGCAGGTCATCCCCATGTCTGCTGGAGTCTGGCTGAATCCAGGGCTTTTATGGGCTTCAGGGGGGAGGAAGTGCATACTGATTGGTCCATCGGCAGGCCTGGAAAAAGCACTGTAAGTTCTCACTCCAGCCTGCAGAACTGGCAGCCCAACCCCCAGCTTCAGGTCATCCCCAACTTGAAGGTGGATCCGCCCCTTTCTGCCCAAGAGCCTATCTACCTCCTGCCACCATCACCCTGCCCTGTACGGTACCCACAGTGCCCAGGCTGTGCCACAGGGCACTTGCAGGCCTGTGCCAACCTGCTCTCAGCACTCCCACAGCCTTCCTCCTGTCCTCTGGGGTGCCCAAAGTCCAGAGGGGGCCGAGGTGGCAGGGCGCTGGCATGTCAGCACCACCTCGAGTCTGCTCCCACCCAGCCAGGTAGTGACAGTGCCTGGGCTCAGTCACAGCTTTCCTTTGAAATTGGCATGGGTGCTGGGAGTAGGGAGAGGCCAGGCAGTGGGAGCAGGCACTTCCGAGCCTGTAGGGGTAGGGGATAGGGTTGGGAGCCCCCAAGAGTACAGGGATGCCTGCAGTCATGGCTGGGTGGCTGCAGCTACATCTGGCATGGCAGAGATCCCGCCCCTTCAACTTGAAAGTGGGCATGGCTCCTACCTGTTCCTGGCTCCCACTGACTCCTTCCGGCTTCATGGAGCGTACAGTCCCAGCTGTGTCTTTCCCACTGCAGCTGGCATCTTCACAGTGCCCACTCCAGGCAGGCCGCTGCTGCCATCACTATTGTGGTGTTTTTCACTGAAAGAAAAATCAGTGTTTAACAAGGTCATATTAAAGAGAAAAGATAATAGGAAACTGTGGCTAGTTACTGTATGTTCTTTGATCTTTGCTTGTGAATGAGGGTGTCAAATGTTGACTTGGATCTTCATGCTTCATTTATATTGGCATTGTGAGGTTTTTGTCTCTTTTAAAACTACTTACGAAGTTTTTTTTCTGTTGAAAAAGAAATTATTTTCAGGGACCACATAAAAAGAACAGGTTCTTAAATAAAATTTCAGAATGTGCACATACAATATTTACTTTTAATATATCTTTTTAAACATTTTGAAAATGTGGAAATTTTGAAGCTGTCAGTTTGAAGGTAATCTTAAAGAAAACAAGGAGTAGGAGGTAGAAAAAGGAGGTAAAGCAAAAGACATAGTAAGAGTAGGGTTGTTTTTCTTTTTTTTTTTTTGAGACGGAGTCTTGCTCTGTTACCCAGGCTGGAGTACAGTGGCGCGATCTTGGCTCACCACAACCTCTGCCTCCTAGGTTCAAGCGATTCTCCTGCCTCCACCTCCCAAAGTGCTGGGATTACAGGTATGAGCCACTATGCCTGGCAAGAGTAGGGGTTTTTATAAACCTTGGGAGAGAGAAGGAAACCTTGAGGAACTGTGATTTATGTTCCTGTTAGAGGAGAGGTATGGGACAGTGGTTTTAAAAGGGGCTGATGCCATAATGTTTTTGAGTGAAGCTAGGATAATCTCATCCTGTATAAACTGGATTGGATTTGAGAAACACTCATCTATATCATTTGGCTTAAATAAAAGTTAGTTACTGGTCCCTCTCACCCACCCCGAGTACCCAAGTTATCCTGCATCCATTGTACAACCTGGAAAATGGAAGTCTAAGCCATAACATTAAAAGGCATTAGTATGGCATATCCATACAATGGCATACTATTCAGCAATAAAAAGGAGTGAACCACTGATACATGCTACCACATGGGTGAACCTCAAAAAGATGGTAAGTGAAAGAAGGCAGATATAAGAGATTATATATTGTTATTCCATTTATAGAAAATGACCAGAATAGACAAATAGTAGCGACAGATAGGTTAGTGGTCCATTGGGATAGGGTGTGAGAACAGGGATTAATAGTAAATGGGAATGAAGGATATTATTGAAGTGACATAATGATTTCTAAAACAGATCTCAGTAGATCTTCAAAAGTTTCTGCTGAGCAAAGGAAAATAAGTGGAAATTAATTCTATACAACTCATTATTACTAATTTGATGTGTGATATGCTACTAATATACTTTTCACTTAGTATATGCTATTACTTTAAGTGACAGTAAAAACCTTTATAAAGGCTGTAAAAAGTTAACAAGAATTTTTATTCCCCTAATTCTAGTTCTTTTAAAAGGTATTACTTTATTTAAAAATCCTAGATTCTATTACCTGTGGGAGATTTAGGAACAAACCAGGCTGGGGTAGGGGGACTACTGTAGAACAGTACTGAACCAAGACCGAGGGGCCTACTGAGGACAGGGAGCTGTGTTCTTAACATCCTTTCTAGCCAGAGGCTTTTGAGTTAGTATGCTTACTGAGGTCACTATGAGTTTCTAAATTTTATCATTCTGTGAATAGGCATATATTTCTAAATATATTTAGATTTTTTTTTTTTCTGCATGTGTTGTAGTTAATTGTCGTTTTTTAACATAAGAAAAATAACGCAAAAATAATCAGAGCAAAATGTGAAAGTCCCATTTTACCTTTCTTCCCACTGTCCTTCCCAGAAGTACCTAGAATCAAGTTTAGTATTTATCTTAGACCCCTTATATGCTTACCTGTGCATGCAGACACATACATATACTTTAGTCTTCTGTATAAATGAGATCATGATATATATTCATTGGTTAATGAAATATCGTGCCACTAGTATGTGCTGAGGCACTGGGGATATCACAAACTGCCCTAGGTACTAGGGAGGCTGGGAAGCATATGTTTTAGCTGGGAACATTAACTTCCTAAGTAAAATCAGGGTTCTCTTAGTAAGGAAGGAGAAAATGGATATTGGGTTGGCAACTAGCTGCCTCTGTCTCCTGGGACAACAATGGAAATAAGACTGGTTAGGACACTTTGAGAGTAAGCAGTATGTTGGGTTTAACAGGGGTTGTGATTTTGTCAGAAGTATGATGGAGAGATGCGGTAGATGGACGGGGAGGTGTATACAAGGAAGTTGTTACAGTTTTGGATGATGGATCTAGGTTAAGGGGAAAATTGAGTACATAAAGGATGTGATAGACAGTGAAAGAGTTGTAGGGTCAATGGATTGGAAACTTTGATGCTGAAAATTGTAAAAGTAGAATTGCTAGCATATATAAATAAAGCTGGAAAGCTAGGAAGTGGTGGTCCCAATATAAAAGGCTTAAATGTGAGCCTTGGGAGATAGTTTAGTTATGGATATCACAGTTTAGGGTATGACTATGGAGTAGATAGCTAAAATAAGATGGAGAAAAAGATGTATTTAAAGAGGAGGTGAAGGAACTGAGAGAGTATACCAATATTGAGACCTTCAGGAATGATCACTGGAGTAGTTGGAGAGAAGTTAAAATTTAAGTGCCAAGTTTTTCTGTGAATGAAGGAGAGTGACAGAGAGGGGTCATGAGTGTTACAGTTTAAGGCTAAATACTTCAAAGAAGCTAGGTTGTTCATTCGTTTGTTTGTTTGAACAGAGAGATTC